GCATGCTCTAGCTCCCCCCCTCCCCACTTACAAGCTGTCCAGTCATGCGCCACCACCTAGGTAAAATTATGCAATTATGCGTGGCCATACATTTTATGTGCAAAATTGTGCGGACACATAGTTGCATAATTCTCCAGGGTGTAACCTTTACTTGTCCTGGGTAAGTGAAGAGTACCTAGGTTCTGCCTTAAGGTAGGGCCTTGCCCTTTTCAAGGTTCTTGGAATTGTAATTGCATTTCTAGTCTTTTTATGTTTTCTCTATAGAGTGACACTGTCTACAGGTTATGCTGTACTTCAAAAAACCAAAAACGTCAGAAGTTTTGCTTGGTCCAAAATAGGAAAGTTGTTTGTGTAGATTAGGAGAGTTGTTGGTTGTAGCCTTGTTGATCTAAGCATATAGGCAAGCAAAGGTCTTTGGGTAGATGCGATCTTTTATTTGACCAACTAAAATAGTTGGAAAAAAAGTTCTTTTCAAGTTTTCAGGCACAAATACCCTTCTTCAGGCATTGGGAGACTCTGCTGCTGCTGTTGTGAGTTCTCCAAGGTAGAAAAGAAGCTAAAGTAACAAGAAATCTGTGTAAATGAGTGGAAGTTTGGAAGACAATGGACTTAATATAGACATTGGATTTATGACACATATAACCTGCCTGATATCTAATTCACCAGGTAACCTGCCTGACCACTTACATTTCTTCACACATCTCCCTCCCTCCCCCGCCATCTCTACCCATTGTCTTCCAAACTTCCACTCATTTATGTTTTCACAGATTTCTTGTTACACTTTAGCTTCTTGTCTACCTTGGAGAACTCATAATAGCAGCAGAGTCTCCTGACATTTGAAGCAGAGTGTTTGTGCCTGAAAGCTTGCAAAGACCTTTTTTCCAACTAATTTAGTTGGTCTAATAAAAGCAACTTATACATTGCCTAGCAGAAGGTGATGGTCCTTAAGCTACATACTGTTTAGTAGCCAAACCTCATACAGGAGACACTTGTGGCCAGCAAGGACAGATGTGGTTTTCAGAACTATGAAATGGTACTCCTTTAATCAGTATCTGAAGGAGGCATTGCCTTTCCTGTTATCTCTGAATCAAGAATTTTGTAATGAGCTGCTTGTGTTTCTGATAAATAAGGGTCTACCTAAATCGCAGTGGGATTTACCAGTTTTCACAGGTTGATCATAGCGTAAAGTTCTAATTCCAAGGTCGTTTCGTGGTGGCCCTGGCGGTGGGGTGCAATAAAGGGGTTGCTGGCTAACATCTTTGATTGCTGGCTGCCGTTCATGCCGTCTCACCCCTCAACGTTAATTGTTGGCTGCCATTAATTGCTGGATGCTGATGATGTAGCCCCACTCCTCAATGCAGACAGGCCGGGGGAGAAGAGAAGGAGCAAGTATGAGGCGGATGCTGCCATCTTGTCTACTGCCATTTATGGAACCACGCCAGTCAGTGCTTTCCTCTCCTTGCAGTGAAGACCACGGTTCCCATTGTGGAGCCAGCATTTTATTTTTATTAAGTTTTTGTTGTTGTTGTTTTTTCAGGAACAACCCTGGATTTCGTGGTTTCCCTGAAATCCACGAAACCACAAATTAAGTAGGTCCTACTGATAAGGGTGTTTACTTGTGTTAATAAAAGGTGGATGCTACAGTTTGGAAGATAACTCTCTTAACTGTTTGAGAGTACAAGTTCAACCTTGACAGGTCAGCAGGATCTGTTTTTTCTTTCATCTGCAATAGTATATCAGATGGTCATGGGGATGTGTTAATGCATATCTTAACTGGTATGCCCTGTTATTTTTGAGTGCCTAATTTTGTGACGCACTAAATTTGCTTTTTTTGTAAGGTGACTATTAACTTCAAAGAATTTGAAGATAATGCAATTTGGATTCGAATTGCTTGGGGGACCTCATATACAAAACCAAACCAATACAAAGCCACCTATGTTGTATATCATTCGCAGACGCCCTATGCCTTCATTTCAAAATCTACTAATAGGAGCAACTTGCCTCTGCTTTGTCAGGTAAGGAGCAAATCTGACCATGTTACTGATCTTTGTTAAATAGTGTAGTTATCAAAATGGGCAATTTTAAAGGTATGAAGAAATACCATAACAGGAAATGTAACTGGTTTAGAAACAATCTTTAGGTTAAATTCCTACTGTCAGTGTTTTCATAGGTGGCCGTCTCATTACCACATTAAAGTAAATGTCAACATTTGGACATTAGTAAATACCATATACAGTAACTGTCTTTCAGCTGTTTCTTTATACAGAACATTTATTTCATAAAATCTGCTTTTACCAAAATATTGCTATGTTACTGATAAATCTGAAACGGACATGCAAATGTGAAGAATATACATGGTTGCAAATTGCTATTGTTTTGAATATTGAACTTGAATTGCTGCTAGTAGGCATGGGATAGGTCAATAGCTTCAAAACATTTAGAGCAGAAGGTGGATGGTAACTGACAAATATAGGATCATAGCATTACTGTCTATTCGTATCACTTATTTTAGGACAGATCACCCAAGACCTGTGCTGTACATCTGTGACTTTTGAAGAGTGGCAGTGATTTACTCTGGATACACATAACATTTCAAATGGTAAAAGCAACCTGCAAATACCATTTCATACCGTTCTCAGTGATACAACTGCTGAGCTTCAAGGGTTTTGAAAATTGAAATGTTTTGGTGATGGATAGACCTTTGTGTATCTAAATCACATGGATGTTAAGATCAGTAGGAGAGTTTGAGACCTTGGAAGGTTGAAAACTTACCTTTCCAGTAACATAATCTCCAGGTTTGAATAATTCAGTGGAAGGTCATACCGTAACAACAATCAAGGTGTTTCTAAATATCCACAATACTGAACTTAACGCTTTGCTTCCATTTTTATGGTGGCTTAATCCCCTTTTTTCTGAAGCACTCTAAATGTTCATCCTTAAAAACATATTTGGTAGTAAATCCACATATAATTGTATCTAAAGATCTTAGTTAACCATTTTTTTCAGATCTTTTTATTGTGTGTTTGTTAATATTGTTCTCTATATTATTTTAATCAGAATGCTGTGGCATCAAGTCAAATGTGTTCTAGATGTCAGTGTTTGTATTGGTGTACTCTTCATTGCTAATACCTGTAATCTAATAGAAATAAGATGTTGAGTAAGTTTGATGATAAATTTTCTGTCTTATGTTGATTAATGTTAATAGATTCTTATCCTGTATCAGCCATTCCATTATTTTGTCAATCTAAGAAGCCTGTAATTATCTGAATAGATCCATTTATGTTTTTTAAACATTGACTCTCCATTCATTAAATATTTTCTTTCAGATACAAGAATCATTCTAGGTGAGCGACACTTCCTGTACTTAACAGTTTACTAAAAACGCTGCATTTGCCCAAAAAGCTTGCCAGCTTTATCATGTTGTAAATAGCTGAGAGCTGCTGATAAAAATTATTTTAATTTTTATTTAAAGGCACTGATTGTTGCTTCCAATTATGGTGACATCCGTGAAATGGAGCTACGAAGCCATTGTTTAGACTCCCTTAAAGATATTGTGTTTAAGAGGTATAGCCAGGTGAGCCCCTTTGAAAGTTCATTCTAAAATAAGTCTTGGTTCTTTGTTTCAGACCTAGCTCTAAACTTCTTAGAAGGTGGGAAAATTCACCTCCTCCAAGAGATCATCATTTTACAGTAGTATTGCAGTGCTGAGGTGGACAACCTTTCAATAAGGTAACATTAAAGTGGTGATCTAAAATTTAGTTTCCCACCTAATGCTTCTTAGAGGCATTTCTAATCAGTTATATTTTTCCAGAGTAAAACTACACTGATTTGAATCTTGTGGTTTTGTAGTATTACAGCTTCATTGTGCCAGAAGTACTGACTTGGAAACTTAAACTGAGTATGTCTTTTGTTGATCTAAATAGTCCTTTCAAATAAGTAATTGTCTCTTGAGTATTATCAGAGATGGGAGGAATAACATCCCAGAATACAATTTGGGATGCTTAATTTCTTATCGTTGGCAAAAGCAGGGAGAAAACTGACTTTCAGAAAGCAGCAGAGAAGTCTGAAGAAGTGTTTCCATCTATGTCTTCTAGAACTAGAAATAAACAGTTGCGTTTTATCATCAGTTTAACCCTCTCATCACTTTTTTTCTTTTTTTGCTTAGACCTTCCAAACGCATCATCCAAAACCTCTGCAAGAAAGAAATGTTGCTCCAGAAAACGGTATGTATGTGTGGACATAAAATCATAGAAAGGTAGGCTGGAAGGGACCTCAGGAGGTCCTCTAGTCCAACCATCCATTCAAGACAGGATCATCCCTATCTAAACCATCTTAGATAAGTGTTTGTCTAACCTGTTTTTGAACCTGGGAAACAGTCCTCACATACAACTACCCAGGCATAATACCTGAAACATCAAAAACGCCCTTTAGTTTGTGGGGATGAGGGCATTGTCAACCTCCTTCCATGCTTAAGAGATCCAAGGATGAGGACCATGCCTCAAATCTGTGTATATGTATGTATGAATCTGTATATATGCAGAGTTAAAGTTTGTTTCAATGCCAGTACTTCTAGATGTTTGCTTTTAGCTGTTTAAGAGTGTGGAACCTGTTTATGGTACATATAAGTCTCATGTAGAAGACTTAGAATCTTTCAGTCAATAAGGTGTATTGGATTTGTGCCTGTGCTCTGCCTGTCCTTTTTTTTCCCTCTCCTCCACTCTCCTCCAATCTAAATGGCCTCCCCACTCTCCTCCAATCTAAATGGCCCTAGGATCAAGCAATTCCAGCTATCATTAAGGGCCCTTCTAGATTCCAATTCAGCGAAGCTTTATTTCCTCCTATAGGATTTCACATCACCTGTGTATGGTGCCCAATTGGTGGTGTGTAATTAGGTGCCTCAGAATGTAGGTCTCGCCATCTGGGGCCTAGTTTGACAGCCAAGGCTTATTTCAGTATCTGCACCTGTATGCTGCACCTCTGTTCTCGCCTGCCACAACTTGATTTGAATTAATTTATATTGGAAGGCTTCTCACAATTTAGGATCTTCAGGCGAGATCGGTGGCTGTTTTTTCGGGGCTCCTACCTCCCCTTATAACCCCATCCTTTCATCAACCAGTTCAGAATAAGCTCAAAGTCCTTTTATACAGGTTCAGATGTCAATCATTGTAAAAGATCAGTTAATTCAGTAAGGTTTTATTTCAATTTAGGAAGGAAACCATATCGTTGATGAACTCACAGTTAGATGTTCCCATGTACAGGACCTCCACTCCTTGTAATGGATCCCTTTCCAGGAAATCTTCAGTCTGGGTCTCGCTCTGGCACACCTCTTGCTGGTCACTTCTCCAAATGACCAGACTTAAACTGCTCTCCTATCTCCTCCCTGGGGTACACTGCCTGTGTCCATCCAACTTTGCCTTCTCTGCCAGCCACTTCCCTCCTGTTGGGTCTCGGGCAGTTATTGATCTTCTCTGGTGTGAAGGCATGACTGCCAGTGCTGGTCTTCCCCAGCTTGCCTGCCTCCAGCTGACTGCTGGCTCTTTTAAAGTCAGCTCTGTGCTTCCAGCCAAACTGAGGAATGGCGGGTGCTGGGTATCTAAAAATTCCAGTTATCTGAGGCTGGCTGTTTTTGACTGGATGCAGGGCAGAGTGGCTGTGGCAGCGGCCAGATGTGGAGCAGCGGCAACTCAGGTGCACATTTTGTTTGGATGCAGAGCAGCGGCAGCACAGGGTGGTAGGTGGCAGCAGCTGCCCCTGCTTCCAACACTCCCCCCCGCCCCCATTGTGGCCTGCCAGCCAGCTGGAAATTTCAGTTAGCAGAGTGTGGTGGTTACTAAAATGGAAGATAACACATATTTTATTGTAATTCCTAGCAAGCCAGCTTTCTCTACAATTAAAAAATTATTTGATCTTTAAACTTGAGCAGTTTAGATGGATTGATAGACCTAGCAGTAAGGAGCAGGTGGTATGCAAATTTGCACTGTCTTCCTAAAAAGTATACAATGCTAAACTTTAATACTGGGGACATTGACAAATGTGACTCACTGGTAGCCTTTGATCTCAATACAAGCTGTTATAATCTAATAGCACTTCTAGATAGCCTTTATATTCACCTTCTAACTGTTTGATGAACAGTTTGGTGCCTTCACTAGTATTAGTATCTGTCTTTGTTTTCAGAGTATATCACTTCCAAAAATCTTCCTTAAAGAAACAGAATGTGCATGTAATGGCTAAACAGTGCCACACTGACTGACCAAGTTGTTGTGTTTTGTTTTTTTCTCCCAGTGGATCCTAGGATAATTCAAGAAGATAAGAGTGAAAAAGAGAGAATCCAGCAAGTGAATCGGGAAGTCTTTGGTGATGGTCCCCAACCAAAATTAGAATTTGCACAATACAAGGTTGTAGAGACTTTTAAGCCAAATTCAAGTCTTGTTGAAGCAACCAAACAATAGATGTTATATCACACTAACAAAGAATTTTCCAGTGTTTCTTCCAGTTTTTGCAAAAATGTGGAATTCCTCATAAAAAGGATACAAATGTAGCTAATGGTGGATCACATGTCTCTTGCATGCAAATTTAGGTTGTAGTAACTTTAAATTTGAGCATCTGGTTTAAATAGTTATCATAAGGAATAAATGGTTAATCTGAATCCTTGTCTATTTGAATAGAAATATATCTAATGTCCAAATTTATTATTTTGCATGTTTTGTTATTATCATAGAATGAGACTTAAAGTAGTGATGATCTGAAGTACAGGGACATCAAAGATGCACGGAGTATTTTTAAAGCTAGGTAATGCCAATAGCTATGTATGATTTGAATTTGTTCACAAGAAAAAAGATTTCTTTGTACATCAGGGATTCCAAGAAATAACCTTTAATGATTTATCATGGATTAGACGTGTTGCATCTCTTTCGATAGAGGATGGTTTGCCACATGGGGGCAGTCTCTGATTTTCATTAACAAAGTATTTTTTCATCTAAATCATTTTAATACTAGCAAACAGACTATGAGCCATACTCTACCTTGACTAACCTATATTCTGTGGCATATCTAACAATACCAGCAAATGCAAACATGATGATTCTGCTTTTGCATGCCATTAAAATAAATGGCATATTGTCAAAAAAGTATTAGTTGTTATGTGTTAATACAGTAGGAAGAAAAGAGGACAGTGTCCAGCAAAAGAAAGCTAGGCTTTAGTTTACATTTTGCATTGTTTTGTAATAAAACACAAGGCATACTCTTTACAAATAACCAGGACTTTTTTTTTCTTTGTTCACAGCTTGAAACAATGTTTAAAAGCAATCCTAAAATGGTGAACGTGTCTGAAAGGGAATCATTCAGATGTCTGGTCAAATTCTCTAGTCCACATCTTTTAGAAGCTCTGAAATCCTTGGCACCAGCAGGTAAGTATTTCAACTTTGATAAAAACCAAAAATGTAGTAGGCAAAATAATTTACCATTGTTATAATCTACTAAGCGTGCTTCCACATGGGTTGGGGTCAATTAAACAGCTTTTAGCCTGTGTACTTGAAAGTAATTATCAGTAGAATTTATAAAAATTGGGAACCTGGAGCAGTTATAATTATCAATAGCTGTACATTTTATAACAGATAAATCCCAAATTATGTTAACAGCCTCCCTAAAACAATCCCAAGTAAAAAAAAAAAAAAATAGAAAGCTGACACAGAGGCAGTTCACAGTGCCATAATGACTGGAGCAGCACCTCTGTAGATCAACCTGAACACATCAAATGAACTGGCCCAGAATCGGATTTGCTTGAGGACTTAATGCACTTGACAACAAGAAGTGGCCTGTTTTGTTTTGTTTTGGATGGTAAATTTGAGCCTCTGTATATATGAATAGAAATATAGCAAATAATTATAATAATAAAGGTTTGTGTATCTTGCATCTGGGATGGGTTTTTTTTTTCCCCAAGAATATAACTTGCTTGTGGAATTACAATGATTGTACCTGGCTACTCAACTTATAGTTTAAAAGATATATTGAGTAACAACAATAATTGTAACAACAAGTTACATTATTAAGTAAATTGGGTATGAATCAGGCTGTAATTCTTCACTCTTGTTTCCTGCAGGTATGGCTGATGCACCACTTTCACCATTACTTACATGTATACCACACAAAGCCAGGAACTACTTTAAAATTAAAGAGAAAAAAGGTTTACTTGCAGCAAGCCTTGTAAGCCCCTAACCTTCCTGCGAAGTCTGATCCATACAGAAATGTACATATGTATATGGGTTAGTCAAGGAGATTGCTTGGTGACAGGCCATTCTTAGCCCAGTTAAACAGTGAATTTAGGCAGTTAAACCAGTTATTTCATTAGAGTTCCTCTACAGCTCATAAAGTATGTGATGGAAAGATGCAACTTCAAACAGACTTTATCAGAATACAGTAGGTCAAGTAATGGTGTGGTAGATCTGGCATTTGCTTACTGTAGTAGCATCATTTAATATAATGGAAAAACCTATAATGTGTCATTCACTATACGAGAAACATTCTGAGACGAGACAAACCTATGCTACTGGGAAAATGAACATTTCAAATTTGCCTTGACAGTGCATTCTAGCAGAAGATTCTTATGACACCATTCAGTTGTCATGACTGCATTTATAGTAATACATATAGTAACATGCTTTTATATATTAAAAGAGGCTTGGGGCTTCTTATTAGTAAAAGGTGGTACCAAGCAGTTGGCAGACATTTTTCATGTTCTTAAAATAGTGTTAGTAAATACCTAATAAAGAGATATAATGCTTTATGTACATTATATTTTAATCTCTATTTTACCAAGTGACTGAGAAGGTATTGAAGCACAGATGTATTTAAGTTTTCTCCCAGATTAGTAAATAAATTAATCTAAAACTTTTTAACCGGTGTCAGATTTTAGAGCATCATTGCTTTATAATTTGCTTTTCATATGCTATAACGAATTGCGTTATTGGAATTGTACATGCATTGCTGCTTATCAAAATATTGGTGGGAAGCATCTGTGATGAATGTTACTAATGAATGATGCTAATTATTATTAATGGCCTTCTGAAATAAGTTGAAATTAGATGGAGCCCAAACATACAGTTAGCATACCTTTACTTGGAGGAAATGGTGTTTCTGAATGTGTCCTTTTTAAGGACTGACCCACCTCGTGTTCTAGAGTAATTCATTTCTTTCTGACTTTGTGGACATAAAGATCTCAAGCAGAGTCTGGTAGCACAAATTAAAGAAAATAATAGGTTTCCAGTGCAGTTCTGAGCATTCTTAACTGTACAGGCTTTTTTAATGCAACTCTCTTATGATTTTTTTTATTTAGGGTACCAGTTTGAAGAACTTCATTTGCAGTTAACTTACATTGTACAAAGTAAAATCGTTAAACATTAAAATTTAATAGTAGACGTTCCTTATGCATGTAAAAAAATGTGTTCACTTACATCAAATAATTTCTGTACCCAGACTTCTTCAGAACAGGTAATGCTGTAGTAGGGACATGTAGCACATTAGTGACACCTGTCGCAGCACCTTCCTCCCCCTGCTCCATGCAGCTGTGGGGTTAAGCCCTCTGCTTCCCTTCCAGCACCGCAGGGCATAAATCAACTATCAGGTAGACCATGGGGGGTAGGGATTAGAACAGCTCTTGAGGAGAAAGTGGGACTGGACTTATCTTTTGGCACACCTGAAAAAAGTTGGCCACCACTGCTCTAGTAAAGTACTCTAAAGTTTGTTGGTCCTGCATTTACATCTTCCTTGCCCCCACTCTATCTGAGAGCTTCCGCGTCCTCTTAAGAGATCTCCAGCAGACAGACCAAAGCCAACACTGGGCTAAATAGCTCGGCCTCTCAGAACAGCCCCCAGCACCCCACCTGTTCTGGGAACACTGAGGGGGAAAGGAAAGGGGAAGTCGGGGGGCCCTCCCTAGGGTTGCCATCACAGAAGACATTCCAGTTTTCTGCTACTGTCCTGTCCTCTATTGATACAAAGCCTGATGCCTTTTGTCCTCTATTTTTCTCTTGATGAGAAAAATAGTGGACATGTGGTTTCATATCAATAGAGGACAACTGGACTGTCCGGTATGATAGCCACCGAGAGACAGCCCGGAGGTGCTGGTGCCAGGAGCCGCCGGGCGGCACGACCCTCGCACCAGCCACATCCTCCGGGGGCTAGCCACTCTCTTCCTGCCCGGATCCGGTAGAAATGCGCCCGTGGCCGGCTCAGCCGAAGCCAGCCAGGACGCGGCGGGGCACTTAACCGCGCCCCTCCACTCAGCCGGGGGCCGACGGACGCCCACGTGCCATCTCCCCGCATCCAAAACAAGCTGGTTTCCAGGCCAGCGGCTCACGCGAGGGTGGCCAGCACAACAACGCGCATCCCCCGACACCGACGTCCCGCAGGCACGGGGCCGTGTCAGCTGCGCCCGCCCCGCGCTCCGCACACGCCGCTCGCTCCAGCCGGCTGCGAGGGGGCGGGGCCTCCTTTGCCTATTCACGAGCCGCCTAGACCCTCGCACCC